CGAGCTGCCAGCAGTCACACGATTGGGATCTGTCTCTGATCCCCACAATGATACACCCTGCCATGCACATGTGGCATGGCAGGATGTGTAGTTGTTGGGATTGGAAATCAGATCCCATCATGCAACTGTTTTCATATCTGCCAGGGGCCATAGTTGTCCACTGCAGATTCCTGCATCTGGCATGTCTGTTTCTGAGAGTGGTCACCATTAGCTGGACCACCGGACTCATCTTGAAAGGGAGTGCTTACATTTCTTCGTGCTAGTTAATATAAAAGCTGTTACCAAGATAACTTCTTGTAGCATGTGATCTGGTCATATTCCATTTTCTTAATATCTGTCCTTCACATTTTGGACTAAGAAATCATAGATTAGTTTACTTCATTCCATAATAAGCCATTTTTAATTCATAATGTTATTAAAGGTTGCTGTTATTGTTGTTTTAGCTATTTGGTGAATACATGACTTCCAGAAATTAGCAAGGAATAATGATTTCCCTCACAATTCATGAAGTAAACCAGCATCCTTTTCACTTCAAGGAGAGCTTTAAGGCATTTCAGATTTAAATAATAGATTATTATATAATTGAGTTTTAGTAAATGAACTGTTTCTAACTATAGCTGTGGCAGCTGAAGTTAGCCACAGTGTTCAAGAGACTAATCCCTATGTTGAAATGGCTAGGATAGGGTATTTCTAGTAGATATACTGGGACTCTCAAAACTTTCTTCCCCTATTAGTCCATGTTTGTTTATTTGTAGGGCTCAATGGAAGTCTTATCACTCATTTCTAGATTTTGGTTGCAAATACAAGGTTGGGTGGGTATTTTTAGAGTTTTGCTTCATGCACCTAGAAAAATGTAACATCCTATATAAATTTAAAAAATTAAAGCAGTCACTGGCTAACTCTGCCTCATAACACATAGGAGCAGCTTGTATTGATATCCCTGTAGGACTTCAGTGGAGTTTTACCTAAGAAACCAGAGACCAAAGTTGGGCAATTAGTTTTTATTTTGAAACTTCCGTCCACCTCCATTCCATCATTCATGTGTCCTCTAAATTGAATACATCCCCAATTCCCTCCCCTCCGCCCCACTTCCTCCTCCCACCCACCAAAACCTGCCTTGTAGCTAGATTAGAAAGAGCTCTTTACCAAGTGTTTCCCCAATCTTTTTGTTTTAGTTGATGTGCAGTACATTAATTAATGTGCAGTATATCATGGAACTGTGCTGGAATTTTTCTCTTCATATACATCTCATTGTTAGTCACATGCCAGATAGTTACTAGAGGGCCAAAAAGTATACTCAATAAGATCTAAGCAACAGTAGTGAGGCTTTTCTCAATCTGCCTTTTGCGATATGCCGTTTGGAATTTGTTATGTAGTTTTACAAAGGATCATTGCTTTGTGATTAAAATTCATCGTGTAATTAAAATCAGCAAGGGCAGTTTCCTAAATGAACATACAACTTTCTTCTCCCTGCTGGGTGCATCTACATGAGACACTATGTCGCCATAGCAACATAGTAGTCATGCAGTGGCGGGACCAAGCCACCAGGCGCCCATCACCATAACAACACAGTCCCTCAGTATAGCGTGTTGCTACAACAACATAGCAGCTAAAAATAACCGTGCACCTCCCACATGGTACATTACGGACTGTTACAGTGCCGTCATTTAATTCTTCCAAAAGGGAGTACTAAATGATGATGCAGTAACAATGGCACCATAGGGGTACGCGTAGATATGCCCACTGTGTCTGCTTTTTCTTAGAAAAATTGCATACATTTCATTGTACTGTGATTAACTTTTTTATATGCTTAATAAAACAACGTTGACAGATTAGTTCATCATGACTGTCAGACACTTTATGTTTTGTCAGGTTTGTTCGGCTATGCCATACCAATAAGGTCTACAATCTCAGGCCTTAGTTTTCTTTGAAAAGTTATGGACATGAACAGCAAGCACATCTTATATGAAAGAGCTTTATCCATTCTTAATTCATTCCCTAAAAATCCAAATTGTTGAATTCATATAGTAATAAAAACACATGCTGGAAATGTTCATCTATTAAACTGTACATTGCACATTATTGGGAACTTTTTCCTTGTTTTTAAATAAAACCTAAAATGTTGCTTGTGTGGTGGCCCAAAAATGGTAATCTGCACTACTACCGATCAAAAAAATCCAGGGCTCAGTAGCATACTTCCTTGTTCACTATGAGATAAGAGCTCTATCCCACAGAACTCACCAGGAGAGGAAGGCACTCAGCATCCACAAGAGATGCTCAAGTGCTTGCAGAATGAAACCGTATAACCCTACAACCCTGTTCTGTTGTTTTCCTAGCCAATGATAGGCAGACATTCTGTAAGTCTAATTAACTCAGCCTTTAGAGGAGAAAATATACTACATGTTATACAATGATTAAACTGGATAAAGAGTGCTGACCCACTGTCTCTGAAGGAAATCCTGTCTAGTCTTTAGTAGGAAGGGGCCACAGAGGTAGAATACTCTAAAGGTTTAAGGAAGTGGGGTAATTATTGGGGCTATGCCTGGAACATAGAGAATTTCCTCCCCACCCAACCAGGCCTCCCAGTAAGCTTTTTTTTTTTTTTTTTTTTTTTTTTAAATAGTGGCATGCATTAGCCTTAAACTCCTCACTGCTATTGTCGACTAGCCAAGTTATTTTAACTGGTTTAAAGTGTTCCCAGTAGAGTTCTTATATGCCAGGTTTCCTCCCAGAGCAACTTTATTTCATTTGTAAAATGGGAATTTGAACATAATGGTAATAGTGGCGCAGTCTTAACTAAAGCCCGGTGAATGAGAGGAGCCATTGTACTTTGTGTGAAGATTTTTGGTGTACAGCTGGCCCCTTAGATTCATTTCCCTTCCCTTTAAAACTTCTTTCACACAGGTCCCTATGTTTGATGTTCCCTACTTGACCCCATCCACTACACCTCCTTCCTCTTCTCTAATATGCTTCTTCTAATACCCCTGTTACCCTCCTCTTTTTCAAAGTTGGATATAAATTTAACAGTGGAGCCAGCATTGACTAATGGATGAGACATAGGGCCTGGGAGTTGAATCTGGATTCTGTTTCTGCTTTTGCCCTGGTTTGCTGTATCACATGAAGAAAGTCATCTCTGTGTGCCTGTGCATGTCTTTCCCTTCTATCTATTTTCAACCTTAGTTCATTTGCCTTGTGATAGGGTCCAGTGCCAAACATGGTGGGACTGAGCTTTACAAATTAGGGCCTTTAGGACATTTTTACACATGCTCCAGGGTGTGGGGGAGAGCACTTTAATTAGAGCGACTCTAAGAGCTGCTCTAATTAAAGCACCCAGAGCTTCAAAATGGCAGCAGGGGCGCTTTACCTAAATCTCGTTGAACGAGCTTTAGTTAAAGTGCTCCTGCTGCCATTTTGAAGCGCAGGGATGCTGATATACAGGATGAGGAGGCTGGCTAGAGCACGGTAATTACCACGCTCCAGTAGACTCCATTGAGTCTGCTTCAATGTGCTGACAGTGCATTGGAATAGCCACCTGGCTTGTGTATAGGCACCCTTAGATACTAATGCAACACAGATAACACTTGACATCCTAAATATACATGTTTAAGTTGAATCACTTGCACAAAGTCTGATTCTCTCATCATTGTTCTGTCCTTTTACACCGTTGCCTGCTTGTATTGTTTTATCTTTTTGGGCCCCAAACCTTTCCTGAGCTTGGCTTGAGGACTTAGACTACAATCTCGTCTGCACAGGAAATTAATCTTTGTTCTGAAAGGTGCTGTCCACATTTAGCATATTATACAGATAGTGCTTTTCAAAAACTGTTCTGCTATCCCTTAAGGTGAACTAAAGGTGCCAGCTGAAGTTAGACAACATTTTGGAATAAAGCAAGGATGTTTGCAAAATAAGAAATTGTGCAGTGGATTTCAATTTTTTACCAGTATGTTCCTTACTGAGTTTGGTGCATATCTTTAAGATGTTTGAAATTCCTCAAGTTTCTAGTAGAAATGCTTAAGAAACTGTCATCCACTGCCCCCTCAGTTCTGGCTAATTAAAAAATGTAAAAGCCTATGGTTGTGACCAAGGCATGCAAGAAAAAGAAAAAAGTGTGTAGTTCTAATTTTTTAAACTTAATATATAAGTGGCATTTGTAATTATCCACATTAAAACAGAAATAAGACACATATGCATATTAGTTTTCTGCTCTGGAGGCTAGTACTAAACAATGAGTCAGAACTTCAAATAACGAGTTTTGAAAGCATTTTGAAGGATAACAATGTTGAAGATTCTCGTTTCTTGTTAGACTCAGATACACTCTACAAGTAAGTTAGAGCCAATTTCCAGGGACTGCGCTCATTTATAGTAGGTTCCCTCCAGCTGTAGTAGGCTCCCTCCAGCTGCTTATGGGCTGCCTCATAGCCTAGAATAGCCATAGTGCAAAGCACTACAGTCCTAGAATCCCACCCCCAGAATCAATGTGGACCTGGACTTGTAGGCTACAGGTACCATCATGGAACTTGTCAGTCCTATACTGGGCAAATTAGAAGGGCCTATATAACCCCTCAGCTAGATACTACTGCAGGCCACTAAAAAGGGGCCAGAGTGAGAGCCAGGATCTTTCCCAGTATGCTTTCATGTGCATTAATATCATCAACATAAAGGATATCTGATGGGCTTAGGGGGTAGATTGGGAATGCATGTTAGGAGTAGGGGAAGAGCTGTGTGACTGAAGGTTGGTCCACTTCTGGCCCATGAGGAGTTCTGAGGTCCAGATTCAGCCCAAGGAGAGCAGATAAGTTTGACACCCCTGCTCAAGAGAGATTTTTGAACCTTCCTTTGGAGGACTCAGTCTACTGCTCTGTCCCAGACAGTAGTCTCTACTAAGTGGATGACTGGTTTTCTCCTGGACAGCAGCCTTTATATTCTTAGTAGAAAGCAAGGGCTGCAAATGCTATCTCAGTATTATGTTTTTAATAATTTCCTTACCCAAAAGCATACAGATAACAGCACAATTTATTATATATCGCAAACAGAACAAGAGAAGATTCAGTTTAGTGGCAGTGGAAGTGAAACCATTACTTGTGGATGAAGAGGATTCGCAAAACATCTGACTCTTGTTGTTTTTGCTACTATTTACACCTTAAGGACTTGAATACTTTTCACAAAATAAAATCTGTTTAGAGACAAAACTCATTGTTAGTGCCATTCTTGGCAACAGTGCGGACTTATACAAATAAAAATTGTCTACTGTATTGTATGTGGCAAGATGACACATTTTCTTCTGAAGTGTCCCCAGATTACTTTTATCTACTGTAATCTTTTGTGTTGCTAGAGCAATGGGTGCTCTAGGAATATTTAGAATAGCCAATATCAGGGTATAGTCCATATTGTAAAATAACTCAGAAGCAAGTTGGAGGAAGCCACTGTAACTCTGTGCAGCTATTCCTTAATCTAAGAAGCTGTTGCTCTTTGGCAGTATAGCCGTCTTGGCAAAATGCAGTGCAAATGAATTACAAATACAGCCAAAATAAAACTAAATAATACTAAATAAGTTACTAAAATACTAAATACAGCCAAAATAAGACTTTGGTTAGTCTTTGACATTTGTCTGGTTTTCTTCTAGGTTTTAAATGCGGGGAGATATATATATTAGACACATGTATGTAGCTTAATAATAACATGGGAGGTTAAAGATGGGATCAAAATCATCCTTGTTCCATGAGTCTTCCTAAGGTCTATGTACTCTTCAGGTCACCCTTTAAGCCCTCAAAATAGGATGTTGTTTCTCACGCAGGACCAAATTTCTTCCACATCAAAAAAGAACATAACCTTTAGATGCCTTTGAGCTTTCTTAGTACTAAAGCCAGATTCTGGCTATTACACGTAATGCCATATTTACTCAAATCTGAGACAAGTTTTTTCCCGAATCACCATGAGGGAAAAGCCTTGTCTTAGGGCTGGCAACAGCTCAGTTCCAGCTTCAGCCCTGAGCTTAGGGCCAAAACCAGAGCCAAGCCACTGCCTGTCTACACACATAGGGATATGTGAAACCGACCGTATTCAATTCAGATTCAGCCCAAATCAGGGACACTGATTTGATTCATTGACTCAGAGAATCAACGATTTGGCCACTGACAGCTCTAAATGTTTTTTCTACATATCTCAAGGTACCAGGTTGAGTACTTTGAGATATGTGAAAAATGAACCTTGAAAAATGAACGCTGAGATGGTGGGGGCGGATGGAACGTCGCACAGGAGCATGGGCGGGGGGGTGCCCTGCATGCTCAGCGGCATACTGGGAAGTGGACCAGATGTACTTCCGGTCCACTTCCGGGTCCACTGCTGAGCATGTGGTGGATCGCCCAACCTCCTGGCTTGGCGATCAGCTGCGGGGGGACAGTGAGTGCCCCCCCCCAGACCCAAGATGCACCAGTCGGGGAGGGAGGGAGGTTCCCCTGCATGCTCCATGGCAGACCTGGAAATGGATTGGAAGTGCTTCTGGGTCCACTGCCAAGTGCACTGGAGAGCCTCCTGCGCTTCCATGGGACGGAGATTTCGCCACTGAATCTCCGCTGAATTGAATCAGTGTCCGAAGCTTCGCACAGCCTTACTATCCCAGGCTGGGGTGCCATGTGCAGCAGGGGAGAGGGTTTGCAGCAGGGGAACACAGGAAAGCCTGTGTGGTGAGGGTTGGGGCAAGTGTGGGAGACCTCACTGTTGGGGGGGTAGCATAGGGGAGTCCGTTCAGCCTGCCCCCCACTGCCTGCCTCCCCCCACCATTTCACTCCCTCCCTGCCCAGTTCTTACCTTCAGGTCCAGCTCAGAGCTGCTACCACTCCTGCCTGGCTGGGGGGACTTGGCTGTGGCCAGGGCTGACACTGCCGCTGAGTGCCCCAGAGCCAGAGGAGCCTCAGAACAGCTGCTTATATAACAAGGGGGTGCAGAGGTGGGAGGGGCAGACATGGGGGTGGGGGACAGGCACAGGGATCACAGGGGAAAGTTACAAGTGACAAGTGGGGCAGGCACGGGGACAAAGGGTAGGGTACAAGCGGGGGGGGGACAATGGGGACTGGCCCCTCTGGGTGTAGGAGGGATGATTTTAAGACCTAATCCTCTAATAATTAGATTCTATACAAATTTATAATTTTCCATTCTAGAAACTAATTATTTGGGAGTTGTCTTACATTCAAAATTTCTTGGATCCAAGTAAATATGGTAAATGGATGTGGAAGTGCAATTAGCTTTGAAATAAATGGAAGACTTGCACACAGCTTAGTGTAGAATTTTACTTTACATATTGTTCTCTTCTTACTGGTAATGAAAATAATGCCAGCACCAATACCTGCACAGTACATATTAGATGGAACTTTATTAGAATTACTGTACATCAGTCATCTACTATGTGTGCGGGCCGGGCGCGAGCCGGGCCCTTTTTTGTGCTGCACGCGGGCTGTGGCCAGCAGCCCAGGCACGCGGGGTCGGAGAGAGTGCGCGACAAGCTAGAATTAGGCACAGACTCGTAGCGGTAGATTTAAAGATTATTTTACTTACACCAAAGATGGTCGCGGTGCAGGCAGGAAACTTGCTTGAGTTGCGGTTGCAGACAGGAAAGAAGAGAGGCGGGCAAGAGTTCTAAACTCGCGAACTCTAGCCCAATCCGGCTGAAGGCTCTAAACACGCGAGCCCATCGTGTCAACCGAAGAAAGTACTCGTACAAAAGAGCTCTGAATAAACTCACACAAAGTTTGCTAGGCTCCGTGGAACTTGTGCTCTGAGGTAGTCCGGTCGTCTGAACAACTATGTCAGTTGTTCCAGCTGGCAAGAAATAGACTCACACGAAGTTTGCTAGGCTCCGTGGGTCCTCTTTTTGCGCGCAGGGAGGGATACGTCTAGGAATCTATCGGCGACGGGGAGAGGCTAGAGGCTGATCAGACCTCTGTTGCCTGCTTGAAATGCGTTGGGTCTGTAGGGATCCGCAGCGCTTAGAGATCTTCACACAGCGTGAAGTCTCCTCCTCCTGGTGTTCGTGGAGTCCTCCAACTTGGGCGGAAACCACTCAAGCCTTTTATAAGCTACAAATTGGCGGGAAATTCTCCCTTGCACCGGGGTTTTCTTTTGCAGCAGAAAACTCCACCGTGCAAAGAAGCTGTAATTTAGCGGGAACAATTTAGCAGTGCCGAAGCACACACAAACATAATCATACCCTTTGGGTTGTGACACTATGTAGCTTCATTTTGCCCAACCTCCCTCCCTTATCAAGCATTTTGTATATGTGCATTATAAATGTGATCATTAGAAGTTAAAATCTTCCTGCAGCATTTTACCTACCCTCTGCAAATATATGCTCAGACTAATATATTTCCCTTTCAGTTTTTATATTTCAGCTATACATGAACTAATAGGCCTATGTGAAGTGGCTAGTATTCACTCTGGATTTGGAATCAGCCGATTCAGGGAACAGTTATTCTATTCGGTGATTCGAATCACTGTCCTGAATCAATTCAGCCGAATCTGATTTGGAGATTCGGCCACCATTGAAATCAGCCGAATCTCTGAATGAGCCCCACCTGCTCTCAATGGCTGCCCCACCCACTCTCCCAGCTCCCGGCTCTTTAAAAAACAAAAAAAACAAAAAAAACCCCTATTCACCAGCTGCTGCCAGGTGGGGGGCGATCCCTGCTGCCCCGTGCTATGTGGGGGTTCTACCATGAGTCCCCTGACCCGCGTCCACTCCCCCAGCCCCTACATGGCCGCCCCACCTGCCCCAGCTCCTGGTCCTTTAAAAAAAATAAAAGCCCCCACTCAGGGGGGCTGGGGAAGCAGACAAGGGATGGGGTCTGGCAGGGGTCCCCCAATGGTCCCCTCCCCCCTCCTCCAGTCATCCCTCCCCACCCCCTACATCCAGCTCCCTGCTGCAGCAAGCAAGGACTGCCCTAATCGCTGGAGTTCTCTGAATCTTTTCCGAATCGATTTGGACCTTTTAATTGGTCTCCTTATTCGGTTTGGATTCGGCAATTCGGCCACCAAATTGGGCTGATTGTCCTCCAGATCCTATCAGCCCCTGAAACTTCACACAGCCCTATGAACTAACTATGAACAAAATAATCTACAGAAGTGTGGCTTGCTAATATTTCTTTGCAAAACAGATGTAATTAATTTCTATTGAATTAAGTATTATAAGACTGCAAAAAAAATTCACCACTTAAAATATTAAATCAGAGCATATCATATCTTTTGCATAATCTGGCTATTCACCATTTTCCCTTTTTAAAATTATGATTATGTTAAACGAGATTTTAATTTGAAATCTAGTTGCAATAATGGATGATAAAGTAACAACTTACTTTCTAACTCCTGATTTCCCCTGCTAATTTTTGTACTTTTACAACCAAATTTTCTAAATGTAATGTCTTTTTCTGAAGGAAAAATTTCCTGTAACTTTTCCTTTAGAGAACTTTAACTACTACTGATAAAAATAGATAGTAAAGAATAGACAATAGCTGTTATATGTCTAGTCAATATTGAAAATGAAAACAAACTGAATTCCTACTTCTGAAGATATCAGTGGATTTTGTATGCTGACAGCTTGTTAGAGTGAATCATATTTTATAGAACAATGACAGAACCTCAGATTGGGGATTGCATGATAATGTTATGTTGTGCAATGTTATATGTACGTAATATTAATTGTGTGTGTAATGTGCATGTCACAAAATGGCAGGAAGTAGCAACAGTTCTATTTTGGTGAAATACTTAATATTATTGACAAGCCAATATTACTAACTACCTTTTCGTACTCAGCAGTAATTCTCAAGTTTATGCTTGTGACTTAACAGTTACCACAACAGCTAAGAAATATAAGATTATCTAAATAAGTATCTTGTAAGTGTTCAGCCTGTGCTTCTAAGCCTTCTGCAAGAAGCTGTGTGTGACATCAGTAAACCAGAGCATGGCATGTGAGGCTTGGTATGCTTGCTTGGTATGCCGCAGCCAGCCCAGGCTCTGGGCAGTTGCTGCTGGCCACGAAGCCCAAGCTGCTTGCAGCAGGTAGCAGGGAAACTGCAAGTCCTGCTACAAGCAGTCCGGGCTCTGGCAGGCAGCAGCTGGGAGGCTGCAACCAGTGCACTAGGGCCCCAGAGCCCTGGCCTTGCTCTGTGGCCAGTGGCAGCTGTGTATGCACCTTGGCGCACACAGCAGGGAAGTGCCAGAGCAGTGCAACCCCTCCCCTTGTCCCACCATCCACCCAGAGGCATGTGTGCACCTGAAGCCAGCAATGAGCCCGCTGAGGCTCCACTGACCTCAGTGCAGTGGCTTGCAGCCTTCTGGCTGCCTACTGTGGGCAGCCAAGACTCCGTGGCCAGTAGCAGGTGTCTGCCCAGAGCATGAGCCAGTGTGGCAGGCAGCCAGGAAGCTGCAAGCTGTTACACCAAGGTCTGCAGAGCCCTGGCCCAGCTCCATGGCAGTGGTAGGTGCACATGTGCCTCCAGGCAGATGGCAGGAGAGGGGCTGGGGTTGTGCTGCACCAGCTCCTTACCCATGGAGCTGGGCCAAGGCTCCAGAGCCCAGTGGAGCAGTTTCCAGCCTGGCCACCTCCTGCTGCAAGCAGCCTGGGCTCTGGCTAGTGGCAGCTGCACGTGTGCCTTCGGGCACACAGCAGGGAAGGGGCCAGGGCAGCACAATCCTGGCCTCTTCCCTGCAGTCTGCCGAGAGGCACGTGTGCACCTGCCACCAGCAACGAAAAGCAGACCCCTTGCTCGGTCTGCCCTAGCATGCCAAGTCAAAGTGTGGGTTGAGGTTGGGGTGTTTTTGGCACTCCAGACAAATCATTGTTGACCCGTTGAGTAAGATTTCTCAGGGCACAGGGATCTCCCCAGATGAAGCAGCTTGCCGTGTCATGGGCTCTACTACCTATGCAAATTAAAGATCAGTAGCAATGGGCTATAAAGTTAGTACACATTTTTTAGGTCTAAATTTATTGTTGGTTGGAGCTCTTTATGGCATGACAGGTACCTTTCATGTGTGCTCTCAAGGTCATTGCGCAATCGGGTTACTGCATACCATGTCTAACTAGGCTGTGCCACTGCTTTTTCCCATATCTTTTTCATGTCCCATTTCCAGCTATCTAAGTAATCAACCTAGAATAAGCAATTTATCCTCGTTCATAGGAAACTGACTGCCGCCGATTGGCTCTTATTCCTATTTAGCCACTTTTACTACATCCAATCTCTTATGAAAATATTGAAGAAATATCATGAGATCCATAGTAGTTCAAAACATTCCAGAAGTTACTCTAGTTTTGCCTTTTTAACTATCTTTTCCTTGCAGATACAACCAACCAACCAACCCTGCTAACTCCAGTTTAAATAGCAGATACCACAGTGTGATTTCTGTATCTACTTGTCATAATTACATGATGAATGTTGTGCTAGAGACCAACAGTTCCTGGTTCACATGCACCAAGTCATGAAAATCCCCAAAACTTCCCAATACCAGATATGAGACAATACATTCCTGGTAGCATTTTTACCATACCTTACAGTGGCACACTTAAAAGAGTCCAGAGAAGAGCCATGCGCATGATCAGAGGTCAGGGAAGCAGACCCTACGATGACAGGCTGAGAGCCCTGGGGGCTATTTAGCCTGAAAAAGCGCAGGCTCAGGGGTGATCTGACGGCCACCTACAAGTTTATCAGGGGTGACCACCAGCATCTGGGGGAACGTTTGTTCACCAGAGCGCCCCAAGGGATGACGAGGTCAAATGGTCACAAACTACTTCAAGATCGTTTCAGGCTGGACATAAGGAAGAACTTCTTTACTGTCCGAGCCCCCAAGGTCTGGAACAGCCTGCCACCGGAGGTGGTTCAAGCACCTACATTGAACACCTTCAAGGGCAAACTGGATGCTTATCTTGCTGGGATCCTATGACCCCAGCTGACTTCCTGCCCTTTGGGCGGGGGGCTGGACTCGATGATCTTCCGAGGTCCCTTCCAGCCCTGATGTCTATGAAATCTATGAAAACTCAAATAAATCCAAGAGCAAAAAGAACTTGGCTCTGGAACCACAAATTAACAATAATTCTTTGTCCCAGAATTCTCCCAGAAATTTTTTTTTTTTGCAGGATTTTCTTAATTTTTTCACCTTATTTACATTCTTACATACTTCTCTATACATGCATAACAGTTTGGTTTTTTTAATGAAGTACAGCTTATCTACTACTGTAACAGTTAATGACTATGAAACAGAGACATTTATCTCAATAAACAGTCTAAATTTAACAATGCTACTATAAAAAACCTACCATATTCATATATAATGATTTCTACTGAACATCTCATAGGAGGTTTTATAAAATAACTGGATTGAGGGATGGGGAGGGGGTTATTATTTTTCTTTTAGAAACCCTGTGTGTGGTTATTTAGGTTTTCCTTTCCTCACTGTAGGGATACTGCCTTCTAGGAGACTTTTTCCCAGCATTCATTCTCAGGCTGGGGGAAGTCTTTTAAATGTGGCAGAGTAAAGCAGCTGCAAACCTTAAGCAGCCATTTTGTATCTAGCTATTGTCTTCTGTTGCATCTTTTCCCCTTGGTGAGTGGTAAACTTCTTATGTTTCCTCTTCCTTAAGCCTGACTAGTTGGTATCTGCTTCCTGGTATCAGTTTTTGATTAGGAAAGAACAAAATGAAGGAAGTCTGTGTGGTCATTATTCCCCATTCCCAGCTAAATGCTCTGGTGTGCTCTTTAAAAAAAAAAAGTTAATTAGGTACTGACTACTGCAGATAATGTAAGTAATATAACACTTTTTCTACCAACTGTAAGGAGGGTGGGAAAAGCCCTATCTTCAGTTCTCTGCCTGTCCAACACATCTGGGTCCTGCAGGGCAAAATATCTCCAGCTCTACTGCTGTTCTGAAATCCTTAGCACACTGGCTAAGGGTACAGATTGCAACCTGTTGTTTCATCTGCCAAGTTCTACTTGAAACTATAGACCAATGAGGGTCAACTTTTTTGATATGTGCGCCACAGATTAAGTCCAGTGCCTCAAGTGCCACTGATCCACTCCCAATCCCTGCCCAGTCTGTTTCTCTGCTCCCTGTCCTACCTGCTGCTACTGGAAAAAGATGCTGTTCGGGTATTATGTTAAAGATTTAGCAGTCACAGTACAGGGGCTGGGGGGTCTGCTTATTTTCCACATGTTTAGACTGTAAATTTGATACTGTCTTCAGGATTAAAGGATTTATCCATTTCCTGCCTATAGTTGATTTCTACCCCCCTCCCCACTTATTGTTAATTACTGTACACTAAGCTAATTTTCTCTGTACTGATGTCTTCAAACAAAAATGTATTAAGAGGCATTTACAAATTAAAAAAACAACCAATACAATAACATGGATAACAACAAAGGAAAAGATGAAAATGAACAAGAGGTTCTAGCTAGGAATTTAGTAGTCATCCACATTTAACTCACTCCCAGGTATTCATGCTATGCTGTAGTTTACTGCTGAACTTTATCCTCAGTCTGGTCAGCACCTGCTTTCGATCAGCCACTATATGATCCAACCCTATAGTTAGTACTCATGAAAGTAAGCAAAAAGAAAGTACTTTTAATAGTATAAATATTTCTTCTTTTGGTTTCCTTATGTGAGAGCTTGGAAATTAATATTCTTTACATGAAAGAATTCAGTGGTCTGGTTTAAAGAGCTTAGTTATTACTCCCAAGTTACCAGCTCTTCATCCTCCTCAAAAGGCCAAGTCAGCCTTTAGGAAGGCGGTTGATTCTGAAGCTTCTGCTGCAGCCAAGAAGCTCATCTAGGGGAAACGAGGATGGGGGTTTGGTAAGATTTAAAAGCCAAAGGGGCTGGAAGCTGGGCATATTCCTCAGCTTCTGGCTCCACACTCCCCCTTAACACCTGGTTGAGCAGTGGGACAGCAGTTTGAAAGCCAGCAGCTGGCAATGTAGTCCCCCAAGCCCAGCTCCCAGTCACCAGCTTTTAAATTGCTGCCCAGCCAGGTAGCAGAGCGGTAGGGGAAGAGGGAGTCAGGCTGGGGAAACTTTCCTTGAATCCAACTTCCAGCTGCTGGCCTTTAAATTGCCACCCTACTGCTCTGTTGGAAAGCAGGAGTGAGGAAGGGAAGCCAGGAGGAGCTGATAAAGCTCCCTGCTTTTTCCCAAAATAGGAGTCTGGTTAGGGCAGTGACTGTGGCTCCCCTCACCTCCAGTCTATGGAAAGGGGGTAGCAGCTGCCCCCTGCACCTTCTCAAAACCAGAGAGGAGTTAAAAGAAAGTATATAGGCATTTAGTCTCCTGAGAGAAACTGTCCCCGGAGCAATGTAACCTTGGTTGTTATTGGATTATTTTCCTCCTGAAGCTGCCATTTTTGTTCTGAGAGAAAAGGCCTGAATGTGCTTTTGGGTTCTACTAGGAGCATGGCAATTCTCCTGGTAGAAACTGAGTGTCTGTACCTGGCCTACAGGTCCCAAGTTTGCATTCTAGGTAATGTTCTTGTAATTGATACCCTGTAAGCAGGCACAGCTTCCCTGAGGCGCTAATGAAGTCCTCAATTCCCATTTGCCTGGTTTTGCATAGATAAATTGTTAGTACACTATCTGTTCTTTCTGATGTGATCCATTCTGTGTAATTAATTCATAGGAAGAGTAGGACATATATCTGAACCTGCAGTTTTTTTAAACTATTACCCAAATTTGGAAAATGCAATCTGTTAATTGTGTTTCTCAGTGGTGAAGTTGTGTGTCTAGTTTTCTGGGATTTGCTGGTCACATAGAAAATATGATCTACAGTTCCAGAGTGAGGATGGAGAAATTAAAATAAGCTCACTATACACATGTTTTAGGATGTAGGGAGAAAGATCTTTTCTCTGTGTTCAAAAGTTTACTTTTATTTCTGACCTTCAAGCTGCATGCTATAGCAGGAATCATTTCCATCAGCACAGCCACCAGGCTGTGAAGAAGCAGAAAAGCCCTGGAAAAGGGAGGCATGCTACCTGGCTTCCTCTGTGTTCATGACATCATCTTATACTCACTCCTTCCCCAGTCTCCTAGCTTTTGAAGAGGCTTCTCCACACTGCTTGGTCTTTCTGTAGAGAAAGGGATACTTGGCAGGTGGATTCTTTGGCAGATGGAGGGATACACTTAATCCTTTCCATGGCTCCTGGAAAAACAGCATCCAGTTGCACATATCTACTGTAAGAGTCATTGGCGCTGTTTGTAAGAGCCTGCAGGGTTGGACCAAAGCCTTTAGCCCAAAGTGAATTCATGCTTAACTTACAATATAATCACCTGGAAGAGCAGTCACACTCTGTCAGACCCTTAACAATAACACTGTGAACAGGGATGCCATCATAATTGGTAAATATTGTGTCTGAGGCACAGTACTGACTTGGTAGAACAAATTGTCAGGTCCTCTTAATTTTCCCAGTCTACAAAATAATGGCAAATGTTAAAGCAAACTTGTGCCCCCTTCAGATTTCATTGTCTGATGTATTTTGTTGTTGTTGGGGTTTTTTTGTGGGGGAGGGAGGTTTGTTTGGGGGGGTTGTTTGTTTTTTGGGTGTGGTGGTTTTTTTGGTGTTGGTTTGGTTTTGTTATAAGCAGGAAAATAACTGTCACTAAACCTGGCAGCTGGGCTCTGGGAATATTTTTTAAGGTTACGCTGGTAGGCAGAATTCCTAGAAGTGATCAGATTCCATTACCTGAAACTGACTCTAAGTGGAGAGTCCTTGTTACTGTGAAAATGACTGTTGTATTTTTCCTTTGAATTCTGCTTCATGAGTATTTCCAACCAATTCTGACATTCAAAAGATGAATAGGTCCCTATGTTATGAGGAAAGGTAAATCCAGCTGTTTGTGTTATGGTTTTTAAAGAAAGTTTGATAGGGATAGTGATTGTTCATGAATATGAATTTCCAAAAGAATGTTAGTATCAATCCAAATAATTAAATTTTAGATGTTGTATGTATGTTGTACACTTAAGAAATTTATTCACAGTGTGTTGCACTGGGCCACTATAAATATGTTCCAAACATTTTATATATTACTAATATATTTGGATTAAGAGCGTTTTAATCCAACTAAGTAATGATCACCATTACAATTAAACTGATCTTAGATTCTAAAAATTGTATCTGACAAGGTGATTACCCTAAGCATCAGTATTGATAATCATTAAAGTGGATTAAACTATTGACTGGGAAAGCAGCAACTGAGCTAGAAATTAAACTGGGGTTTCAGTTTCTGTGGGTATAGCTGATATTTTACCCACACAGTAGTTCACCTTCTGCTTTCTGAAGCATATACTTTTCATTGCTATCAGATGATTTAGCCATGGACTGTACTTCATTGTTAATAATGATCATGTGTTTGTGCGGGCCGGGAGCGACCCGAGCCCTTTTCCGCGCTGCACGCGGGCTGTGGCCAGCAGCCCGGGCACGCCGGGTCGGAGAGGGAAGGCCGTCGAGCTGGAATTAGGCACAAACGCGTATCGGTAGTTTTAAAGATTGTTTACTTACACCGAGATGGCAGTGGTGCAGGCTGGAAAACTTGCTTGAGTTGCAGTTACAGACAGACAACACAGACGGTCTCGTGGAGGTTGCTAGGCTCCACGGTGCAGAGCTCCGGATGCTCTGGGTGAACAGGCCACCAAAATGGAAACCGTAAATACGTCTTATAAAAGTCGCGCTCGAAGACGGGAAGAGGTGGGCGGTGGATCAGGCCGCCACGCTCCTCTGGATCTCACACAGGGTTTCTATTACCCTGCCGTGTACCCAGAGTCCCCACGAGATGGATGTGGAGTCCTCTTCAGCTTGGGCAGAAACTGCTCAAGCCTCTTATACAGCTAACAGGCCAATCGTTAGCCGCCACGTGTGAATAATTTAGCACTAGCCAATCACGGGGAACGAATTTGCATACCGGTGGCGGGAACTCTTTTGCACCGTGCAGTCCTCTTGCAACTCGAGCAATGCACTCTGCAAAAGAAGCTGCAGACAAGGCGGGAAACTCGTCCCTGCACCGGGGTTTCCTCTGCAACAGGAAACACTCCCGTGCAATGCTCTGCAACTTGGCGGGGATAATTCTGGTGCCGAAGCACACACACAATCATGCCTTTTGGGTCATGACAGTGTTCATTAATAATTAGTACCAACTGTAGGTGGCACATCTCACCTTCAAAATGCTTTAGACACACAACTGTAAATGTTTAAAGCCAGACAGAACTTTTAGGTCATCCAGTCTCATCTCATATATAATATGGGTTATAAAATGTTGCCCATTTACTCCTGGGTTGAGTCTAATAACTCCCCTTATTCAAACACATCTTCCTGCAAGGTGCCTACCCCTGGAGCCTTGTCACATGGGACACTTTGTACAAGTTAGATTTGTACAGTATTAACATTAAAACATGTTCTAAGCAGTTGCATGGTAATGTTTACTGTGATCTCTAACATGGGCAGCTCTCTCTCCAGGTCCCAGGACTGCATGGGAGTCTTATACTGGCTCCAGCGCAGTACTGGGGTTAGGATCAATAGTCAGCTGATTACTAGTCACACACCAGAAGAGGGGCTGTGGGCACTTGGCT